TTTCGGCTATTTTAAATTTGTAATTATACATTTAATATAGGACGCTTGTCACGATCCAAGATGTTTAACTAATATCTAACAATATGACACACCCTAAGGGTTTTCAGTGGATATCTACCAAAGTTCACCATGGGGTGACTTACTCCGATGCATCTATAGGCTGACCTACTCTGGTTTATCTATAGGGTGACTTCATCAGATGCATCGATAGGCTGACTTACTCCGATGTATCTATAGGCTGACCTACTCTGGTTTATCTATAGGGTGACTTCATCAGATGCATCTATAGGTTGACTTAATCTGATGCATCTATAGGGTGACTTACTCTGGTGAATCTATAGGCTGACTTACTCTGATGTATCTATAGGGTGACTTCATCAGATGCATCAATGGGGTGATTTACTCTGATGTATCTATAGGGTGACGTCATCAGATGCATCAATGGGGTGATTTACTCTGATGTATCTATAGGGTGACGTCATCAGATGCATCTATGGGGTAACTTACTCTGATGTATCTATAGGATGACTTCATCAGATGCATCTATGGGATGACTTACTCTGATGCATTTATAGGGTGACTTTATCAGATGCATCTATAGGCAGACTTACTCTGATGCATCTATAAGGTGACTTCTGAATCATCAGATGCATCTATACGCTGACTTACTCTGATGCATCTATAAGGTGACTTCATCAGATGCATTTATACACTGTCTTATTCTGATGCATCTATAGTGTGACTTATTCTGACGCATCTATAGGCTGTCTTACTCTGATGCATCTATAGGCTGTCTTACTCTGATGCATCTATAGGCTGACTTACTCTGATGCATCTATAGTGTGACTTATTCTGATGCATCTATAGGTTGACTTACTCTGATGCATCTATAAGGTGACTTCATCAGATGCATTTATACACTGTCTTATTCTGATGCATCTATAGTGTGACTTATTCTGACGCATCTATAGGCTGTCTTACTCTGATGCATCTATAGGCTGTCTTACTCTGATGCATCTATAGGCTGTCTTACTCTGATGCATCTATAGGCTGACTTACTCTGATGCATCTATAGTGTGACTTACTCTGATGCATCTATAGGCTGACTTACTCTGATGCATCTATAGTGTGACTTATTCTGATGCATCTATAGGATGACTTACTCTGATGCATCTATAGGCTGACTTACTCTGATGCATCTATAGGCTGACTTACTACTGAAAAATATGGAGGTTCACTTATTTCTGATGCATCTATATGGCGACTTATCGCTAATACATGCACACAAACAATATGAAAAGATAACAACACTCATCATAAGTAGTTGTTCAAATTATTTTTTTCTCTGTGATAAATCTGTAATATGTAAATTAAGAAAAATCGGTTCTTCTAATGAAATATAACATGAATTTAACATTCACTGTCATTCTGTCTGTGTGATTTACTGCTAATAAAATCTATTGTTGAATATTCAATTGGACTGATAAAGTCACGTGGTGAATATAATGATGGTTACATAACCAGCTTCTACATTGAAATTGTAAATACACATTGCTGCATAATCATGTTAGAATAAAATACAATGTAGTTGGAAACTTGAAGCATAATATTGAAATTATTGCTGTTACATAAATATAATTGACCGAATTAGTTATCTCAACGGGTCATAATGCCATGGAATTTTGAGTTGCTATTGATTTTTTTTCGTTAAAACTGTTAAAATGTTATTAGTTTTGTAACGCAATAAAACTAAATTGCGGGCAATTATGTTATTGTATTACTGTATTATTGGATCTTAGTTATTTATCCGAACAAATTTGGAATCATGATATAGACATGTATTAATTTAGCTCCATTTCAATAAATTACGTACTTTTTAGCTAAATTAGTTCGGTCGGCTAAACGGCTAAACAAGTATGCTAGCTAAACATGTATATAGAACATTCAACAGAACGGTCAGTTCTTGTGTCATGTGTTTACCGACTGTGATTTCTTAGTATTGGTACATATTTATTGATACTGGTTGCTAAGCGAAGAGTCCCTCGACTGTTCAGATGCACGCCATCTCTGGTGAATAGATGAGTATCAAGTGCCCCGGATGTTCTCGTAAATGCGCTTTCATGATCCACGAAAAGGCAATGCTCTTCTTTACAGACTTGGCGAAATAAATCGTTCATTACCCGACAGTCATTGAAGTAGTAGTCGTTTCTTGGCACCACGCCGGAAATGACGATATTGAGATTGCGATATTTCTTCTTCAACTCCTTCAACGTCTCGTGCAATTCCGACGTCACTTCGCGGATAACACCCATCTTGCCTTCTGCGCAGTCGTGAGTTCCTGCATGTATAGTTAATGATTGAATACCTTTCAAATCTGCATATTTCTGAACGTATTTGTAAATACTTTTAGCTCTAGACTTTTTAAGTACAGTAATTCTAACATTGCTTAATAATGTCCCTTTGTTGAAATTACTATTATGCCGTCCTATTATTGCGATTGAGTCGTCGGTGTTGTCTGAACAACTTCTGCTTCTCTGGTACTGTCGTATCGTTCGGATACCATCGTTGCAAATATCCAGTGGCGGGTCCTCTAAAGGATTTCCATACAGAAAGAAGCTTCTTCAGTTTCTTCAGTTTTAAACCAAACTGAGGCGGCAATTGGCGAATGTGGTTGTAACTCGCATCTAAGTATTCCAATTGAACAAGATCGCAAAACGATTCCGGAAGTGACGTCAGCCGATTGTAACTGATATCAATCATGACAAGTCCAGTGATCTTGGTGACACTTAGAGGAATCTCAGTGAAAATGTTGCTGCCTAGCAACAAGCCTTTCAGATTAGTTAATTGTCTGAATTTATTTGGTAGCGAAGATAGATGGTTATGTTTACAGTCTAGTGATCGAAGTGATTTCTGATCACAGATGTCTACGGGTAGCGACAACAGCGCCCTCCCACTAAGATTGATAATCTTCGCCATGTTAGTTGGTCTTTATTACAACCTCGTTCTCGTATTCGTACAGCTTTCTGGAACGAGAAAACATATACACAATGTGAATATGAACATTCATAATGATGTGAACAATTAAGGAGCAATATGTTTTTCTTTGAGCATGTTTGAATAATTGTATTCAATATTGCATCAACTTGATATTAAAAAAAAGATATTCTTTATGGTAATAGTAAAATACCAAATGCGTCTGGATTTACCTAAACTTTCTGATACTATTATTGCTACCAGGTCTTTTTTTCGGTGAGTTATGCCTCGTATTTTTTTTATCAAGGTGTAACATCAAGCGACTTATATAAAAATGCAGACATTTGAAATCGGGTGAGTAATAAGTTAAAGCGGGAGAGTCTTCACCTGCGCATGCGGCAAACGGCCATAGCGTGTCGTTGTTAACAAACAAGCGCCTACCCATGAGCCTTTGCGTTTTTAGCGCGCGTCGTTATCGTGGCTTGTGACTCAATTCCCGTGCGTGCGCAGGTGGCGACTGTGAACATCTTATTTTTGTCAACACAGCCTTTAGTTTTGAGTTACCGTGTATTTCAATCGTGCGTGCAAGCAGTTTTGTAATATTTTCGACCTTACCTAGGATTGTTTTAATAATCCTAAAACGGGAATTTTACACTTTTTCGAATAACACTACGTTCAGGGTGACTTCAAAGATGATAAATATTACAAAGTAATGAAGATACTTGATAGATGGAATTGAAGTTGATGTGTATTTTTATAACGCACTCAGATGTGCCATGGCATCACTTGATGACAAACTGGAACGACACGTGACCGGGATGTGTACGAGTTCCCGCAAGGTGGTGCACCTTAGTTCCCGCCAACAGACTTATGTTTCTAACAAAAATGTATTTCTGAGCAACACATCACAATATTATATGAATCAACTAAATTAACTTTTGAACTTTCTAAATATGTAATACTGTAAAACATGTTGAAAAAGCGGCATGCAATTTTAGCGAATTGTGGTGAACTGACGTAATAGCAAAATGTTGATTTAGCGAATCTCTCTTGTCGTTGTTGATTTCTTTGCTTGGCGGCCATTTTGAATTTATAATAAAGTCATTAGCGACATCTTGAATTAGCAAAACAGTTCTCTCGCTAAATTCGCGAAAAAGATATGCTCGCAAAAAAGACATGTTTTACAGTATGTGATTACCATCTTAATCTGGTTATTGTTGTTATCTTATCCACAGATATGAAAATGATTAGTATAATATGATGGTAAAATATAATCATGGACTCTGTCTTATACGCACCGGTTATTTAAAGAAATATAACTCAAAATATCAATTTAAGCCAGATGTCAAAAATTAGACTGCGTTGTCCGAGTAATATGCATTATTTAGGCGTTAGTGGTTGCCCCGTCCTATGCACCACGGTAACCGTCACTTTGGTACATTCGCCGGTTGTTGCCCGGTTCTTTGTATCACCCTAACCGCCACTGTGGGTCCGCATTGTTCAGACGTCGGTGGTTGCCCTGTCCTATGTACAACCCTAAATGTCACTGTGTTGTACAGTTGTCGATGTCTTCCCTGCTCCTCGTAATATCCCAACTCTGATAACTAGTCCTCTTATGTGAATATCCGTTGTTATTAGTTACATAGCCCATGGAGGTAATAGCCAGTATTGTTTAGGATATACGTCCGGAATTCACGTAACTTAACGAAGCCTCATAAACAAATGTTAGTGCCACCGTTACTCAGCTGTGAGCTTTGTTGTACATATGCCGATGGTCTGATGGTTTCCCTGCTCTACGTAACACTCTAACACTGGTCCTTTTGTGTGAATGTAAGTCGACATCAGTCACATCGCGATCAATGTTTAATATGTCAACGTAACCCATGTAAACGAAGCCTCTTTGTAGCATCAGTCGACGATGTTTGACTTGTTTACGTTTTTACCTCTCACCATGACCTATCCGTATAGCGCTATTGTGCGTTATTGAGTGGGAAAAAGCCACCTACTTGCTACGAACAGCCTTGTATGAATACTAATGTTCCCCTATACAATACACAAATCAAATAAGCTAAATAAAATACTCTCAATGTTTACGTGTCCTCGGTACTAACCTTCTAAAATGCTATAAAAACTAAATTAAAATAAATAGCGGATATAATAGTTACGGCGTTGTCCCGCAGGGCCAAACAGGGCGCCGCTTTTACCTGCCAATAAAACCAAATGAAGGCAAGTACTTGGCGGTGTATGCTTGTCATCTATCCGATACTAAACTAGAATCAAATTTGATATTGGTCACGTGTCTTAGTTACCAATTCGTCGCTTGTACGATTCTCATTGTGATTTGTTTATTTGTTACATTTCGTGTAAACCAGTCTGTTATACGAACTGTTGCGTGAATGTTTTTAGCGTGCAACAAAGAGCGCCGTCAACGCAAACCCACTTTCAATGCTCCATTCGCATTCTCTCCTTGAATGCGAACAGTGTACTTTGTTTATACATACCTCTTTTGTCTGTGGAAATGGCCTTTCAGTGACGTCGGCAACCAACAAATCCAATTCGGCTTAAAAGGGAACAGACAGATTTACTGAATGCAGGTACTCTAAATTACTTCACAGGCGGCGTTGCTCGCCGGTCGATGCCAACCACTTAAATAATAATCTGCAACTCCCTGTACAAAACTAATATCTCCTATAGTTAACTAACAGTCCAGTCTATACGTTGCATTCGCTTTGGTATTGCGACTGACGTTTACAATCGACAACCAGTCGTTATAAGTACTCAGTACACCACCTGTCAAAGCAACCATCCGTCATTCTTCTTCA